CTGGTCTGTGGCAAATGTTGGGAGACTAGGTTCGAGTGATTTGATTGGCTGAAATAGCCGGTTCGGATTCTTCTCTCAATTTTATTTTTCGGCAAAAATTTGTGCGTAGTTTTTGGTATTTTTTTGTCAAGTTAGAAGGAGTTTTTGGTCAGAACTTCCAACTATGTAATTCCTTGGAAATTTAGCAAGTGGATGCGAGCTTTGAAGGCGAATTTTGCTTTAAAAGAGGTTTGGTTTGGTGACTCATTCATGCCCATGCTGCATTCTTCGTTGGACTTTTCGCGCCATTTTTATCAACAAAACACAAGAGAAAAAGCTGATTTTGGATATCTTATACTGTTATTCAAGAACTTAGACTATGCCTAAGCCACAATACAAGTCCTGAGCTTTCCAATGATGATGCATTCGTCTCCAGTTAAGTCATGACTTATACAAACGGCTTTCAGGCGTTTTTTTCTAAGTAGAAGAAGATTGACATTTCTTCAAGACTTCGACATCATTCTTCGCCACTACTTTGCAGAAAAAAATTGTTTAACCGCCAGCTATCAAGGTTAAATGCTAATTATGATATTCCGAAAAAGTCAACTTGACTTGAGATGTATTTATTTTTTAAACAAATCAATGAACATTTTTCAAAATTCAAAATAAACCGTACAGCATTTGTTAGCAAAATGGCGGTAATTTCGTCACTCTTTCGAGTTAGCTTTGCAGCGAAACCTTCATAATTTCTTACTGGTTGTTCTTAAGCTCTAAAAATATAGCCTAAGCCACGGAGGATAACTTTAAGAATACGTTGGTTGTTATTGCTCAATTAGTCTCTTTTTGTAGAGAACAAACTTTGTTTTGAAAATCTATTGTTTATTGTTGTAAATCGGCGAAAAACTCGCAAATGTTTGAAATCCCATTAAACTTATCTTGAATTTATTCTACTTGTTGTTGTGTCTGTTTATATTTTCTTCTCTTATACTTGAAAATGTGAATGAAATTCGTTTTTCCTTGAATTAAAACAGCGATTAGTCTTTTTTATCGCTATTTTTGAGCTCAAATCACCCCAAGGCGCGTTGTATTTTCATGTTTGTTTTTGACAAGCTTCCACGAGCTTCGACAGCGATGTACGAGTTGTATTCGCGTGGTCCTGGAACCCAGTGATATTTGCCACAGACCAGCCGAATAGACTACCCCAATTAGATATTAGATATCTATAAGTGTCTTCATAGTACGATGGTCTAAGAGGGTAGCTATAGGTATGCTCTAGTGGGCGGCTACCCCCTCACTCCCTGGCCTTTTGGTTAAGACTAAGTTTTATGTTCACTCGGGATAGCGTGGAAGAGCCGAAATCTCTAACCGTAACGTAAGCCGATTCGACGCCTCAGCTTCATAGAATGTCTCGGGGGAATCGTCCCATCTTTTTAGTCTTTTATTTTCATTATGTTTTATGTATTCCGGGGGGGTCATCTTTTCCTTAAAGTGAAAGTCCTGAGTTCAAACCCTGCTGCTGCAATTTCTCTTTTTTGCTTGTTCAAAGTTTCTTTTTCTTTTGTTTCCTGTTTTCTTTTCTTCTTTCTATTTTTTTCTTTTTCTTTTTCTTTTCTTCTTTTTTCTTTGCTGTTGTTTTTTTCCTCTATAGATTTTCTCTTTTCGATTTAAACATAGTAAGGACTCGCAAGGAACGCCTGCTACAAGTGGATGGTTACGGTTCGGTCATTCAACACTGATGACATAGCACTGGAAAAAATTGCGCGCTTTAAAGGTTGTAAATTTTATGTATTTATGATGTAAGTGTAAATCATTTACATCAAATTTACATCATTTTGGACACTTACAACATATTCCCATCAAATTTACAACCTATAAAGCGCGCGATTATACAGTTAGTGTTATTTTCAGGTTTGAGACTATTTGGTTGAATTCTCACCGAGTAGGGGGGTACTACCTCCCAAACTTGGTGTTGCCCGCATGACCCTCAAAACCCTTACCCTATCCCAGACCAATTTTTGTGATTTTACATACCCTACCCCAGACTAAAGGTACAAAGGTACATTGTTTAAGCGCTGAAAGCGTGGCCTAGCAGATTCGGTCACAGGCAAAACTCCACCCTACCCAGACAATGAGACTATACCCTATCCCAGACTTGGAGATCCGAAAAAGGGACCTTATCGAGCGCCACATACCGTATAGCAAATATATTGGGGAGTACCCCCCCTTCCCCCTTCCCCCTCCCCCCCCGGGCCGAGTAACGATCCATAGGGATTCTGGGGAGGCTGCCCTTGTAGTTAGCCTTTGGATAACATTAGCTCTGATGTTTAATACTCAAGAGATTTCACTTCTTTCAAGACTAATGGAATTACTGCAGAAGGAACAACCTATCAGTTTTTATGGTACGCGCGCAGCGTTGTTCGTCCTATTCCTGTATTAAACACGTGTTTAAGCATCTAATATCAAAAGACAAACACAACCTAACTTCATTTCCTGAATATACCCACATATATTTTATGTATAGTACTTTTGAATGTTACTCCATCAAAAATTGAACAAAAAATAACAAAAACTAAATATATTTCAAAAACATTCTTATGATTTGTTTTACATCAAGTGAACTTTACTTATACATATATAAATAATGAGCTTATTTTGAAATTAAGAAAATTAATGGACTATTGCTAGACCCATTAGACAGTCCATCTTAATACAGTGTCAGAGAATTGTGAGCTTTCTTTAATAGAGTTTTGTATCCCATATCACTAGAGACTGTATGGACTAGAAAGTCTAGAAGTGTGTTATGTCTGTTATACACTGTAAATTGAAAAGAGCTGATTCGGCCCCAAAACCCAAAACGGCCCTTAATGTAAAAAGACAAATAAGCCCTATACGGGGCCATTTTGGTTTATAGGAGCTAAATTAGCTCCATAAAAAGCTATTTTAGCCCCATAAATAGGGGCAGTATTTTACCTTGCGTTTCAGCCCCATCT